CTCATTGCTCCTTCTCCATGCCTTCTTGTCCACATTCCTACATCCTCCCTAACAAGTGAACATTGGTATCCTCAGCTCATTAGATTCAATCTGTTGTTCTTTGATTGGTATCCACCTTTGGCTGTGTGTGCATTTGTTAGCTGTTCAGCATCTGATAAGTGAAACACTGTCGCGGGAGTTTAAACTGCTCGTACGTCAAATTTATCCCAATTTCCCCTAGGTTCAAGCTGCCACATTACAAATATCATCTCCACTTAAGTAATTTTCCCGCTCTATGAATGCCTAGGAAGATTAACCTATTCACATTGCAATAAATCCATCGGGCTAAGTATTTTAACGTCTTTATTTTTTTTTTGTCACGCGGAGAGAAGGTAATGTTTCTGTGCTACATCAAGAGCTGTTACTCTCTCGCCGCTCCGCAATGAACGGTCCCCGCAGCTTCAGTGGCGTGCTCTTGCCAACAACATCTGGCAAAAACGAGAACGCCTTGCGACGGGCCACGCACTGCTGATGAGACCTGGAAGGTTGAGGCTGGTCCAGAGGTTAAACATTGCTCTTACATGTCAATAAGCAGATGGACTGGGTTGTTTTTTTAAATTAGATTCGAAGCTTTCGTGACTGCAGGAATTACTCTTTGGTTCTTTCGGTAAAGTCACGTAGAAAAAAAATATTATTTTATTTTACTGGTAGGAACGAAGTGGACCAGCCACCAATAGATTATACAGGGAGGAACAATGTTCCACACTGCCCACCAGGGATTATTTAGCTGTCTGTCTGTCTGACTGTCTGTTTGTCTGTCGTACATAATATATAATACACACAGCTCTTTGATTGGTGGAGACCTTACACACAGCTCTTTGATTGGTGGAGACCTACTGCCGGGTACGGAGAGGGGAGGTGCCTAAGGGAGGAGGGTCAGGGGAGGGGCCTAAGGAAGGGGGGAGTCAGGAGAGGGGCCTGATGGGGGGGGGGGTCAGGGGAGGGGCCTGAGGGGGGGGGGTCAGCGGAGGGGCCTGAGGGAGGGGGGGTCAGGGGAGGGGCTTAAGGATATGGGGGGGGGGTGCTCAGGGGAGGGGCCTAACAGAAGGGGGGTTAGGGGAGGGGCCTAAGGGAAGGGGGGTCAGAGGAGGGGCCTGAGGATATGGGGGGGGGGGGTGGTCAGGGGAGGGGCCTAAGGGAAAGGGGGTCAGGGGAGGGGCCTAAGGGGGGAGGGGCCTAAGGGAGGGGGGGCGATAGTTCAGGGGGCTGTCTGCCTGGCTACCTAAAGTCAAGTTATCTTGTATACATACAGGTAGGAACAACAGGTTCCACACTGCCCACCAGGGATTATTTGTCTGTATGTCGTGCACGAATGCGCTGTCCAACCAAGTTCCTACCTGCCCACTCCGAAGGAACGTGTTATCGTCCGTTTGTCCGTCCGTCCGTGTAGCAACATCGCCCCCTACTGCAAACACTTGGCATGACCCTACAAAAACCAAGACCTAGGCCTGAAACTCTCCCTTCGTATCGTACCCCCGCGTGTGTGAAAGGGAGTTAATGTTTAACAATGTTACATTCCCTGATGTTTTTAAATAGAAACATTTACATTTAAAGCTTTTACATAAATAATTAAAACATTTATATTAACAATTAACTCACGGTGGCCTAAGGCCTACAGCTAGGCCTAAAGCCTAGACCTAGGCCTCAAGCTCTCCCTTCGTATAGTTCCCCCGTGTGTGAAAGGGAGTTAATGTTTAACAATGTTACATTCCCTGATGTTTTTAAATAGAAACATTTATATTTAAAGCTTTTACATAAATAATTAAAACATTTATATTAACAATTAACTCACGGCGGCCTAAGGCCTACAGCTAGGCCTAAAGCCTCGACCTAGGCCTCAAGCGCTCCCTTCGTATAGTTCCCCCGTGTGTGTGAAAGGGAGTTAATGTTTAACAATGTTACATTCCCTGTTGTTTTTTAATAGAAACATTTAAATTTATAGCTTTTACATTAAAAACAACTCCCTACCCCCCCCCCCCCTCGTCGGCGGCTCTCCAGCCGAGCCAGGCCTGGGAATCTCTCCCCCGCTCGGGGTGTATCGGGCGGGGCTACAGCGGCAGGGGGCGGGGCTACGCGGGGCTGGGCGGGGCAACGGCGGCAGGGGGCGTGGGCACGAGGTGGAGGGCGGGGCTACGCGGGGTTGGGGCGGGGTTACAGCGATAAAGGGCGGGGAAACGAGCTGGGGGCGGGGACACCGAGATGGGGCGGGGCCACGGGTGGCCGGGGCGGGGTTACGCGGGTGGAGGGCGGGGCCACGGGGCATCCACTTATTGGCGGCCATTTATTCAATCCTTTATATTAAGTTCGCTTGCTTGCTTGCGTGCTTGCTTGCTTGCTTACGACCGTGCAAATCTTTCGGTCGTTTTTTAACACACTTCCCGTGATCCAATCGAGCTGACATTTTCCACACAGACTCGTTGTGCGAGACAATTAATGTTCGTGAAAAAAAATTCCAAAATTTTACACTTTTTAGGACAAAAATATTATATTTAATTACCAAATTGCTTAATGGTGCAATGCAATCATCTGACCCATAGGTGGCAGCCATCTCAATCCAGAGGACGAGAGGACTCTAGCCGCCACGCATATAAAGGATTTATAGTGAAAAACTTTGTTTTTACGGGTTATACTTGTTTGCATTTCATTTTATTATAGCCATTCAATTGTTCGGTCCTACCAGCCCACCCCACAGGATCCTGTTCTATAAAATACTCTTTGGTTCTTTCGGTAAAGTCACGTATAAAGAAAATATTATTTAATTTTATTTTCTATAAAATACTCTTGGGTTCTTTCAGTAAAGTCACGTAGAAAGAAAATATTATTTAATTTTATTTTCTACGTGACTTTACCGAAAAAACCGAAGAGTATTTTTTTTTATGTTTACGAGAGTCAATGTTTTTGGTTTATTATGTATACTGTATTTAAAAACTCTCTTTTTAGAACTGCTTTTTGCATTTAGTTTGCTTGCTGTCCTTCCTCCGTACCTCCGATCGGCACGGTCGGCTACGTACGGTGCAAAAGAAGTTCAACGTGCCGTACATACGTACATACAAAGGGGGGGTCTCTGCCCCTCGGCGCGGACTGCAGCAAACACTCTGAAGCGCCGTCTCACTCTGCCACTATCGGAGGCACCATCAGGGCCGCCGCATTAACGACTCCGTTGGCAGGGTGGAACTGACAGACTGCCTTTTAATGATCCGAAGGGGGGTGAGGAACGTGTGGGGAGGGAGGGTGGGGGGGGAACGCAACGCGACTCGGGCCAAACCGCACGCGTCAAGTGGGCTCGCCGCTCCGGCGCTGAGCGATTGACGAGACTTTTTTTTTTCTTGGCCGACGTTTCGCCACGACGCTGGGAAATATTTTTTGACGATGGCCGGGTGGCCTCGCGGTCGGAGGGCTCGCTCGCCGCTGTGGTGGGGGACAAAGGCGGCCGGGTCAACTTGGATGCTGGCCCTACCCCCAACGCCCTCTAAATCACGCCTTTTGCCTTGCCGGCATTAATAGGGGCCCACTAACGGCGCTTCACTTTGATTGGGAATTCACTGGAGCAATGCACTTTTAAATCTGGATTGAAAACTAATTTCTTGAGAACTGGTTTTCGTTTGTTTACTTTCTTGGTATTCCCCCGCACCTCTGATTAGCACGGTTTGGCTACGTACGGTGCCAGAGAAGTTTAACACACAGTACATACACGGGGGATTGATTCCCGTGACACACGCACACTGGCGTGTTCTTTCCTGCGTGGCGTCTAAACTGGTTGAATCTTCTTGGTTCTTTCGGTAAAGTCACGTAGAAGGGAAATAATAAATAATAAAATAAAACATAATAAAATACAGCGGCCGTCTTCACCCGAGGACGGCTGCTTGCGTTGTGGCCGAAACATCGTGAGAATTGTATTTTATTATGTTTTGTTTTATTATTATTTTATTATTTCCCTTTTACGTGACTTTACCGAAAGAACCAAGAAGACGAATCCCTGCAGTCACGAAAGCTTTAAATCGAAACTGGTTGAATGTTTGTTGTCAAAGCTTCGTGATTGTGGACAACTTGCAGAACAAGGGGTGACAACGGAGGTTGTTGTGCAAACTGTGATCTCTTTCGTGGTAATGTCTGCGTAGCGGGATAAAGGACTCTACCCAAGCACAAGGACACTCTGTGCTTACTTAACGCGAGTCCCTCGGACGATTGCTCTGCTGTATGTTCACAAGATGAGCAGTTTCCCGCTGGTTTTAGGAAACAAAATGATTCCGAGTTGGTGGGGAAATAAGCAGCTTTGTACATTTTTCCATCAAATGTCAGCAGCAATGGCCGTTGGCACTAAGACACAAAGCACATACTTCGCCGTACGTTTTTATTTCTTTATTTTTAAACTGCGCTATTTACTACGGAGTGAGCATTAACGTCATTGTGACGCTAGAACGCTGGCGACGTCTGTGGTGTAACGCAGAGGCAAGACCCGGAACACAAACTGATGAAATTCTGTTTCTCTCTGTAACCGTGGACACACTGTTCTTGTAAAGTATATAATGCATCCAATAGCCTCTCGCCTGACCGAGTAGAGATTATGAATACAATAGACGTACTCAGGATATGTATGTACGTATGTTGAACTTCTTTCGCACCGTACATAGCCAGCCGTGCTAATCGGAGTTGTGGGAAATTAACGAATGAATGCCTTCACATTTACATAACCACGTGCTCATGATTCATACAATCCTGTTTCATGGAGGAGCCACATCTGATACGATGTGTACTAAAAACACATCTTCCCGTTCACACGTGTGCTTCATTATAGAAGAGGTGCCTAGGTACCGCACGTGCCTTTGTGTTTCCCGACACTTTATTGCACCGCATTTTAGTTGCGCCGTGGTTCGGCCCCGCGTGTCCATGACCCACCCGCCCGGGGTTGCGAGATCCACCTCCTCCCCGATCTGACGTTTGCGGTGGCGATTCCTGGGCAGGGAGCGCGCGGATGGGAGCCACGATCGTGGACGCGCTGGACACCCTCTACATCATGGGGCTGCACGAGGAGTTCATGGACGGCGCCCGCTGGGTCAGCAAGCACCTGGACTTCAACGTGGTGAGCACGGAGGGCATACCGCCCCCCCCCCCCCTCGCGCGCGTACCTCGCTACCAAACTCAGGGCCTCGGCAAAGCCCGCCCGTGCGTGGTGTAAATGTCTCGGTTAAAACGTGTAACGGCAAAAGGTAAGAGAGATGCCTGCGTAGTTCAGTGGTTCCCACCCACCCCCCACCCCCCCTCATGATGGCCTTATCAGAGCCTCTGTGTAGCAGCAACCACAGAGTTGTCCCGGGTGTGCGTGTGGAATTCCGTCGCGACTAAACCAGGTTTGTCGTGTTGTGGTGCCCTTGAGGGTATCGGTCATCATTGACCCTAACACGAGTGGCACACGCAAGGGGCACGGGGTTGTCCCGATGCCAACGGGGGGAGCCCTATGTTTTGGTTCTGTTTGAAACGACTCTAATCAGCAAGGTGAATTGATTCTAATTTCATCGATTTTAAATGCAAAAATAAACCTTTTTACCTTTAAACTGTTTTATTTGTTCGTAGGTGGGGCTCAGCCCGGACGTTATTCAGTGACCTTGTTTTAGAATTTTTAGAATCGCTATTGCGCCAAACTCATAGCCTCGGCGATGATAGCCGCTGAGGTCGTGACGGGTTTCATTTTCCATTCTTCTTGCTATATGGCCCGTGTACCGCTCCCGTTCTGCTGTAATGTACGCTGGTGCCTCCTTTATCGATTGATTGATGAAACGTTTAGTAGTTTGACACTTGGTTTGGCTGAGCTCATCTCTTAGATTCTGAATATTTATTTAGACTGGAGGAATCCGATGAGTTATATAGCTCTTTTTCACAGTTGTTCAGTAGGGGCGGGCCAGAAATTTACAACAACAAACAATACAAAAACACGATCGGAGTGCAAAGTATAGTAAAGGTAAACAAATCACATTTTTTTTATTGTACCAGGTAAATCCCACTGAGCTGCCATATATATATTTTTTTTCAGAAGTGACCTGGCCACAAATGATAGCTCAACGAAGCGGCTTATCACGTGAAAATGTATCGCAGCCAAATTAGAAATTTACAGCTGCCAAATAATCTAAATAATCTCCAAAGAATAACATGCACGGATGTAATGGACGGTTGACACTCAAGAGACAAATCTTTTGCCGAGCGTGAAGCAGCCCCATCTGGTGTGGGGGTGAGAGAGCCCACCCCTCCCTCCCCTCCCCCATGCGGTGGTACGTGTTGAGGTGTGAGGCTGGTGTCATCTTCCTGCCCTAACACGAGGCCCTGCTGGACCGTGAGTCATTTTAAAGAATTTTCTTTATCTCACGACGCCAACCCTTAAAAAATGGCACAATTGAATGGTGATTTCGATTTAAAGCTTTCGTGACTGCAGGGATTCATCTTCTTGGTTCTTTCGGTAAAGTCACGTAGAATGGAAATAATACAAATAAAACATAATAAAATAATTCTCACGACGTTTCGCTAAATTCCTCTTGATATGCAAATTATTTTGTCAAGGCGCTCTTCCCCCCTCCATCCCAGCTTAAATAGACGCTCCAAGCCTGAGGTGTGTCATTCAGACTGTCTTCTCGACAGACCTGTTCTCCACCTGAGGACGGCTGCTTGCGTTGTGGCCGAAACGTCGTGAGAATTATTTTTATTTTATTATGTTTTATTTTTATTATTTCCATTCTACGTGACTTTACCGAAAGAACCAAGAAGATGAATGGTGATTAATTCAAATTTTGGAGGAGAGAAAAAATAGCTTATCTGATGTAAACACGTTACAGAATTTGTCAACTGATGTTTAACTGAGCAGCCCGTGAGCCTTAAGGCCAGTCTCCCTTTTCCTGTTGCCATTTCACGAGGCAGCCTCAGACCAGTGTCACCGCCATCACTGAGTCTCATCAGCAAGGCATCAGCAGCCTGACTCCTTGCCATGGGGTTGTCCCAATGTGAAGGATAAAAGCCATTCTAAAACAACATAAACATCTTCTTGGTTCTTTCGGTAAAGTCACGTAGAAGGGAAATAATAAACTAATAAAAATAAAAACATAAGAAAATAATTCTCACGACGTTTCGGCCACAACGCAAGCAGCCGTCCTGCTGTCTTTCCGACAGACCTGTCCTTCACCTGAGGACGGCTGCTTGCGTTGTGGCCGAAACGTCGTGAGAATTTTTTTATTATGTTTTATTTTTATTATTTTATTATTTCCCTTCTATGTGACTTTACCGAAAGAACCAAGAAGATGAATCCCTGCAGTCACGAAAGCTTTAAAGCAACATAAACATCTCAACGGATTAATGACATCAGGGCCCACTGCAAACCCTCAAAAAGTGCATCAAGTGTTCTTGCCTTTAGGCAATAAACATCAATTTTTCAGAAAATGTCACTTCATCGGTATATACATTTTTTGAACAGACAGCTAATAGTTTGTTTAATGCGGCAACATATGGCTCTTATGAGAGATCAAGAGATTGAGATGTTTGCTGATGGCTTATCGAGTGTGGCATGGGGGAATGCTTCAAAGTGTTTTTTTGTGAATTATTTACCATGGGTTAGAGTTGGTCGTGCACTCACGATAATTTTCCCCTTACTGTAGACAAAGAGAGTAGCACAAGATAGAATGCAGAGATGTTTGATAACAGCGCAAGACATCGGTAGGTTGGTAGGCATGTATGAATGTATGTTCAACTTCTTTCACACCGTACGTAGCCAACTGTGCTCATCAGAGGTGTGGGTGAAGGACAACAAACTAAACACAAAAAGCGATTCTAAGGAAATGAGTTTCAATCTAGATGACGATTTAAAAGTGCTTCGCTCCGGTGGTTTCCTAATATCGGAAGGAAGAGCGTTCCAGACGGCCGCAGAAGCGCATCTGAAAGCACCACGCGATGCAGTGACCACCGTCTTTGTCCGATGGTTAGCCGAAAACTGCTGCTGCAGCGAGCATGGCTGTAGTTGGCGAGATGGTTTATGCTCTTTGACGAGATCCGCAAGGTATTTTGATTCATTCGTGGCAAGCGCTTTGTGTGTAACGAGCGCGACCTCTACAATGTATTCGTTCGGGCAACCGGAAGCCAACGCAGGCTCAGGGAGAGGGTATACGAGTCCCCGGGTTGGGTAGGCAGGCAGGTAGGTTATCATTCTTGTCAGGTGGTTAGCAGAGGCGTAGCCTGGTTGGCCTGCGCCCTGGGTGTAGAAAGTGAAGCGAGGGCCCCATTGTCCCATTCCCCCCTCCGCTCTCCGTAGTCCGGTGCTTGGGCACCCTCCGACCCGTCGGTTCCCGGAGCAGTTGCACTGCCTGCACACTTCTGCTCCCGTTAGCTGCGGTGCTTGTTGCTGGGTATATATATAAGCAGTCTTTATTTGGAGCCAGATTGTGGCCAAATTAAAACCGTTTTAGCTCTTCCAGGGTAATGCACTACACACGGCGTACGTATATTTACACCGAGACAATATCAAAACAATAATTAAAGAGCAAAAATTGCGATCGGTTTCAGTGCGAGGCTGGAGTGGCATGTTAATCAAAAAAACACGTAACACGTTTACACAATGAAGATAATTACTAAATTATATATAAAAAGAAAATGTGGCGAGACAATGCAGCCGCTATATACTGCAATAACAGCCGTAAATTGCAGTAATTCAATCTTAATAAAATATGCTTGGAGTAATCTGCCGGAGCTGCATGCATCAGCCAGCCTTTAAAACATTTATAACTGCGATGGCCCATTATAGCTTCAACCGAGAAAATGATATTTGATTGAGATGGTAGAACCGATAAATGAAGCATGGGCCTATAATATCATTCCATGTACCCGAAGCAGCGTACATTAAAGTTTCGAATTAAATCGTCCAAATTTCCCAACTCGCTCCCATTGGAAATGAAGTAAATTGTGTGCATTATAAAGCCTTTAAGGCCCATTTGAAAAACGCATCTATTTAATGAAGCCTACCTTTCCTCTGGTTGATTGCGATGTGCTGTCAGGCTGGTAGGGAATAGACAGTTTCTAATAAAGATGATGATGATGATGGTGCTGATGAAATCACTCACGTGCATAGCACACAACTCTGTTTAAACACTGAACGCAAGTCCGCACCTCCGATTGGCTATGTACGGCGCAAAAGAAATTCAACGTGCATACACACTCGGGGCTCATTCGTGCACTGAATAATTCGTTAACCCTTAGGGCAGCTCAGACTGTCGGTTCTATTTCCTATTCCCTATAAATCCCGAGCACGTAGATATATTGCGCTGGTCTCATGCTGAACACCTTCATACCGAGGTCACCGTGAATGATTTTTTTTTTCTATATTATAACCCTTCACCCAGGAAGGAGCTGACGAATACAACATTATTTTCCAGGGTTATACTCTGGCTGATTGGGATGTTTTTGGCAGTTCCTTGAGTGAATGCTCTCCTGTGTGGAAGGGCACCTGAGTCCGAGTTGAGAAGGTCCATCTCCGCACAAGACAGGTTTCTGTAACTGCTTGCTCTCATCACCGTCATTGTTGTCATCGTCATCACCATCAGCTGTGATCAATCCCACTGCTGGATGAAGGACTCCTCAAGCCTCTCGCGATGTGTAATAACCCGTGTGGCATCTTGCGCACGAGCTCACGGCGTCTTCCAAAGTGGGATGTCCTCTCAGGCGTGTTTCCTCCTTTTGCCCTGTCGCTCCGTCGTTTGTCTCCACCGCCAGCTGTCGTTGTGCCCTGCCCCCCAAGCCGACTCGAGAGGAGGCTCGTGTCTCTAACCCGCCGTTTCATTCCCTAAACCACGTGGCTTCTCTTTCCGTCTCTCTGCATTTCCAAGCGTGCATCCCTCCACGCTTCTGTGCAAAACTTTATTATTCTTCTTGGTTCTTTCGGTAAAGTCACGTAGAAGGGAAGTAATAAATTAATAAAAATAAAACATAATAAAATAAAATAATTCTCACGACGTTTCGGCCACAACGAAATTTAATTTTATTATTATTATTTTATTTTCTTCTCCACTCTTTCTCGTTCATGATCGGACGCGACCTGACCGCAAATTATGAGTC